CCTTCAACCAATTTCCAATGAACAAAATTCCTGAATCCATCTATGACCTGGAAGACCCCACTTCAAATTTTCTTACCTTTCTGGACCAAACCAATGTACGTCTTACATGTATTGATTGATGTCTTATGTCTCCCCAAAATAAATAAAACCAAGCTGTGTAGCCTTGGGCAACCCTGGGCATGTGCTCTCTGGGCTGTGTCTCAGGCCACTGGTCATTTATATTTGGCTCAGAATAAATCTCTTCGAATATTTACAGAGTTTGACTCTTTTCATTGACAATATCTTTTGTAGTTGTCCCCCAGTTCTTGGATACTCTGTTCATTTTTTTTTTCCCATACATTTTTCTCTGCTTTTTGGTTTTGAAAGTTTCTGTTGACATACCCTCAAGCTCAGAGATTCTTTCCTCAGCCGTGTTCCATCTACTAATAAGCCATTCTTCATTTCTGTTATGGTGCTTTTCATCACTAGCATTTTTTATTCTTTTTTAGAATTTCCATGTCTCCGCTTGCATTACTCATCTGTTTTTGTATGTTGTGTAATTTTTTCATTAAAGCCCTCAGCATATTAATCATAGTTATTTTAAATTCCTGGACTGATAATTCCAACATTCCCCCCATATCTGAGTTTGGTTTTGGCATTTGCTTTGTCTTTCCAAGTTGTATCTTTGGCTTTGTAAATTTTTGTTGAAAGCCATACATGACATCCTGGGTGAAATTGCCGTAAATAGGCCTTCAGTGATGTGTTGGAAAGGCGTTGGGAGAGGGAAAATGGTCTATTGTCCTCTGATTAGGGGTCTCAGTCATCTAATGAGCCCAGTCCCCTGGACTGTGAACTTCACAGTGTTTCTCAGCTATGTTTCACCCCCTTAGATGGCATGGCAGAACGTCTATAGAGGGCAGGAGTTGGGTATTTTCCTTCCCCCAGGCTGGCGAGGCTCTGATAAAATCCCAGTTGGTTCAGCTCTGGTAAAATTGTTTCTTTTGAGAATGGGTCTTGTTAAGAAGCACAGAATCTCTAGCACATTCAGAATAGTTACTTTCCTCCTTCCTGCAGGAAACATGAGAGGATTTTTCTTCAGTCTTCACTAAGAGCTTTGTAGAGCTCCTGGAGGAAAACTTACAAAAGTACGCCACTCGCCTAAGACTGGGTCCCCTTGGAGTTTTTAACTCTCAAATTCGTGCATATTGGTCCTCCAGTAATTTGTCAATTATAGTACAGGTCTTCCTACTCCGTACTGGTTCCCACTGAGATTTCAGCCTTGGGAAAATGGTTGGGCGGTAGTGTGTGGTCTAGTCAGGTAAGCTGTGATTGCCTGTATCTACCTGTCTACATCTCTAATTTTGGGGGCAGTCGTTTGCCCTGTGACCTCACTTCTTTGACTCAGCTAAGAAGAGTTGTCTATTTTCAATTTGTGCAGCTTTTTACTTGTTTTTAGGATAGAGTGATGACTTCCAAGGTCCTTATATGCCAGGCCAGAAACTGGAAATCTATTATTGTTTTGACCCATGCATTATTTAGTATATACATATATATATATAAACATTCCGAATAAGTGGGTTTGGTTTATCCTTTTTCATTTCTTATTTCTAATTTTATTACATTACGATAAGAGAATGCTGCTTTCCATGCTAGCAATTTTTTGGAATTTGTTGATATTTTCTCTGTGGCTCCGTATGTTGTCAATTTTTTTCAGTGTTGTGTATGACCTAAAACAGAATGTATCAGGTGCAGTGAGGGCTTTATGCCATTAGGTAAAAACGCTTTAATTGTATGGTTCATAACTCAAGCTCTGTAGTCCACAACCTGATCACTATTCCTCATCCTCACCCCTCGATGACCCAATAACATTGACAATGATATTAAAATACAAATTTTCTTTCTCCATTTCAGTCACTGAGAGCTAACTTTCCTTCTGTCACCAGAAACGTTACAATGTAACAAACAGGCAAACTTCTCATGAATTTTAAACACAGTTTAAACACAGTTCAATTTAAAATTTTAGTCTCATATCCAACTCAAACATTTATTTCCCCCATCCATCTAGTTCAGAATTAACCTGTGGCTGGTGGACAGCGGTGGAGAAGGCGGGAGGTTTCTTTTTACAACCTTCCCCTCTCTCCAATGCTTCTGGGCCTCCCTTCCTTCTCAGGTTGGTTGTAATGCTTAATGAGGGATGGTGTAGGTTCTTCTTTGGAGACTTCTCCAGGGAAATACTCTACTGCACAGTTTGCTGACGTAGGCCATGTGTCCTGTAGTTGACTTCTTGGACTCTCTTGGGAAGAGTCCCATTATACTGGCTCAAGCCTGGTTACTTCCTACGGTGTCCTCTTGGTTTATAGGAAAGTCACGCATATGCATCCTTGACACACCAAATTCTAGTGGTATACATAGTTCCCACTACCTTCTCTCTTTGTTCTAACATTTGGGGCTTCAAACTATGGAGAAGTATGTCAAACCTTTGGGCAGGATACTTATGTCCTATTATCCCCAGTCCTGGGGTTTAATCAGACACTAAGAGTCTAAAGGAAAATGTCCACTCCACATCTCATTATTCTTTTATTTTCTTTCCCTTATTATAACTTCTGTAATATATCATGGGATTGGAATATCCTTGGCCATGGTGTTCTAATGAGTTTACCGATTTTATATATTTAGATATGAAGGAAGTGTTGTCATATAGCAAAGGACCTAACTACCTCCATTGGCCTGTTGTGACAGGATACCGACCCTATACATCATTTAACCACTGTAGCCATTATTTATCTTTTTAAACCAGGGAACTATCACTTGTTCTAAATAATTCAAACTTTGGGAAGCACCAAATGAAATGATCAAAATGAAATCTGTTTATACAGTGTAAGTTAAAGATATCCACAACTATTTTAAACATTGCATTTGGTATCATGACTCTCTAAATAAGGTTTATTCTTCCAGAAAATCATGGACAAAAATTATCCTATAAGAAAATGAAAACATCATGTCATCTGTGCCAATTCCAATTTTAGGAAGAGTACTTATTAGGGCTTTGATTATTCTTTGATGTTCTCTGTTGTCAAAATGAAGTAACCTAAATGATGTTATGCTTACATCCTGGAATGAAAGGAGGAATGAGAATCTTCTATTATTGTTTTTCTAAAAATTATATTTCTTATTTCTTAATACAACAGAATATATCCATATATATCATCAAGGATGAATTTTCCTCTGATTTGGCTTAATGAAATATCTGAGAGTTATGAAAAAATTCCTGTGCTGCTCTTGTTGCCATAAACCTTGTGTTATCAGTGTTGCACAGACCATGGCTAGCCATTTAATGCCATGAATTATGGCATATAATTTGAATGGAGAGCTTTGTTCCTATCAAAGGTAAAAATGCTTCACTTTGAAGCAGTGAGTGAGAGAGTTTCCCCTGTAATATCATTGGGCTCTGACAGCAGGACCTTGAAGAGGAGGGTTCTAATCCTGTCTGCCACTATGTGACAGGCAAGTCACCTGATCTCCTTTTTTTCTTTTTTCTTTTTTTTTCAATCTCTATAGCCCAGGCTGGAGTGCAGTGGCACCATCTCGGCTTACTGCAACCTCTGCCTCCTGGGTTTAAGAGATTCTCCTGCCTCAGTTTCCCGAGCAGCTGCAACTACAGGCACGTGCCACCACACGCCCAGCTAATTTTTGTGTTTTTAATAGAGACAGGGTTTCACCATGTTGGCCAGGCTGGTCTCGAACTCCTGACCTCAAGTGATCCACCCGCCTCGGCCTCCCAGAAGTGCTGGGATTACAGACGTAAGCCACGGCGACTGGCCCCGATCTCTTTGAACTCGGTTCCCTCATCTGTAAGCCAGCGGCTTGGGCTGAATAATCCATATGTCCTTTAAGCCAAGATATTCAGGGCTTGTAAATAATGCTGACTTTGCAAAGTAAGATATTGTCCGGTGCCTGCAGAATCAGGCAATTCCAAGGCCATTATAAGGCAAAACAAAGCTCAGATTTGATGAGAGAAAATTTCTTTTCAAGGACTTCTTCCAAGGCAGATAACGTCAACACAGGAGAAAGGCAGTCTATGCAATGTAAAATTCCCTCTTAACTTCTGGGATCACTGTTACGTCCTATTGAACGAATGGGACTCAGGTAGGCCATTTGACTACAACACCCGAAATAAGTCCTTGGTATTTCTTGAGTACTCTGGCATTGTTAGGGACGATCACATATGTTAACTCATTTTATACTTAAAGCAACTTGAAAACTTCAAGAAACGGAGATGGAGATTTTGCGGCTTGCCCAAGTCCCACAGCTAGTGAGTGCAGAGGATTTTAAACTCAGTTGCGCGCCTAGGGCAGGTTCCAGAACCTCAGAAACCTCCGTGGGGCTTTATGAAACATAAGGACGTAGGCCGCTAGTAACAATAGCTAACGTGAGTGCCTTCTGTGGGCCAGGCTCCATGCTGCATGCTGCATGCTACATGCTACATGCTGTAGTCTCATTTTCTTGGTTAGCCCTCGGAACAACCTTGTGACTGCTAGGTACTGCTAGGTAGTGTGAGGTACTGCTAGTACTTTTTTACTCTTTGAAGGGAGGGGTAGGCTCTGAGACCCGCGAGCTGAGCTGCAGGGGGGTGAGGGTTACGCTACCAGGTAGATGAGGGTCTGTGTAAATTTGGGGGAAGGGAAGTGTGGGTTGTCTCCCAGTTTCGGTTCTTTGAAGGAGAGAGGAGCCTCTCCAGCTGTGGTCTCCACGTACAGTCGGTCTCTGATCTCCCGAGGCTTTGTGCCACTTCGCGTCCAGGGATCTTTATGTCCCAATTACTGTGCAAGGTTCTTGCCTCCAGTTGTAGGTACTGAGGCGGCGGGAAGGAGCACTGAAGGAGGGCTCAGACCGCAATGCCCCCCAGCCTGTAGCTATTCTCGGGGGCTGCAGCTACCGCAACCGCGACGCCGGACTTCCACCGGGTGCAGGCGCAGGCTCCTCGTTCTCCTGCAGCCCGCGGCGGCGCCGGGAGAGCGCTCAGCTGACCTGGGGGCGGGGCCGGGGCGGGGCCGGGGCGGGGACCTAAAGCCTCTGCTCCTTCCGAGTGGGTGAGTGGGTTCCCCGCCGGTCTCTTGCAGCGCTGCCTTTCTATCCTTCCACATCTCTGTGGCGGGGGCTCCCAAGATGCGCCTCCACCTGCTCCTGCTGCTCGCGCTGTGCGGTACAGGGACCACCGCTGCGGCGCTTAGCTACAGCTTGCGGGGAAACTGGAGCATCTGCAATGGGAACGGCTCGCTGGAGCTGCCCGGCGCGGTCCCCGGCTGCGTGCACAGCGCCTTGTTCCAGCAGGGCCTGATCCAGGTACGGCATGCGGCCGACCCGTAGCGAGCCTGCGCCCGCCTTCCTCTGGTGCTGAGAGGGGCCCAGGAACCGCCTGGCAGCCCCCAGCTGTGGGCCATTCTTGTCGGTTTGGCAGTAACTTCCCCTTTGCATCTTGTGATCTGCTGGGGGAAATGCCCAGGCTATGGGGTACGGGCTTGACGGATGAGCGACGGACCCATGTTGGGACATCAGTAACTCTGGAAAGCGGAAGTTTAGATAGAGGAACGGTATTGCTACTAGCAGTTTATTTACCGCAGTCGTTCTCGACTGAAGCGTGTATACAAAGGGCATGTTGTCACTGACAAGCATAAGGTCGGGAATTACTGTCTTTACTATCTGCACGCTACAGGGGACAACAGCGTTTTGCTAAGTAAGGGTTAACTCTATTGAGTAATGTCTCGGTTTTTTATTTTCGCTTTTAAGCGTCAGGGAGTCAGATTTGGGATTGATGCAGCACAGACGCTGTGGAGAATGACCTACAAGAGTAAAGTTGGGTTTGTCAGTGCTAGTGTGGCTAATAATGGGTAAATAATTTCTAAGGCTAACTTGGTGATGAACAAAGGTGCTGTTTCCTCTCAGGGCGTGTGTGTGTGTGTGTGTGTGTGTGTGTGTGTGTGTGTGTGTGTGTATCTCAATGGAGTCTCCAATTTACAGACTACTTGTGGGGGACGTTTTCCTGTTTGGCTGCCTGTGTGCATAGGTTTGCAAACTGACTTCCATCCTCCAACTGCTTTTGCTGTTCCCTCTTGCACAGCGTTGCCACGTGTTGCCTTTACACGGGGCAAGATGTGCTTGTAATTGATCTACTTGTGGGATGCATACATTGTCCAATCCTCATAACAACTCTATATAGTAAGTGTTCATATCTGAATTTTATGGATAATATGGAATTATGGAACACAGAGAAATTAGGAAGGTGACCAATATCATACAGCAACTAAATGGAAAGAAATGGAATTCTAACCCAGGTCAACTCCATAGCCTGGTCTCTATACTATGTGGTATGCTTACTTTGGTTTTTTGAAAAATCATGTGTTTTTGAAGCACTGTGGTTGACTTTCAGGAGCACCATTCTAAGTTTATTTCCATGACAAGGTGGTCACCTGCGGTTATGCAAAATTTCTGACCTGGTACTTAGTCGTTTTTTTTGTTTGTTTGTTTTTTCCTGAGATGTGTATCAGAAAGGAGGTGAATGTTGTAAATGACATTGACCATTGTCCAATGTATTTTTATAGTAAATCATTCCCAAACTTTAGTACTTTATTTTTAGTTGACAAACTACTTGTGATATAGAACACAGTTGACCACAGTATACTCTGAGTCTTCACTTATATCTGCTTTGAGAATGCCTCTGTTCATTTTGTAGGGTTCGTCTTTGCCTCATTTTACTGAAATAATTAAGCCAATGGGTGCTGGTATGTTGACTCAAGCCGGTTATTCCAGAGCATTGGGAGGCCAAGGTGGGAGGATCTGTTGAGTCCAGGAGTTCAAGACCAGCGTGGCCAACATAGAAAGAGTCTATGAAGCTGAGGTGGGAAAATTTCTTGAGGCCAAGAGTTCAAGACCAGCATGGCCAACATAGAGAGATTCTATCTCTACCAAAATAAATAAATAAATAAATAAATAAATAAATAAATAAATAAAATTAAGCTAATGGGAAATATAGAGTAAGTCAGTAAGTCAGTAAGTCAGATTATTGTGCTGTATTACAGAGCTAAGAAACAATGTTTGGTTACTACAGATACTTCATGAAAATGAATTTGCTCATAGTATGAAATAACTTCCTCATAGGAACAATTTGAAGAGATTTCTTAAATCTCTTCATAAATTCTTAGAAAAACCTTGAGGTTTCAGTCAGGTGGATATGGGTCTCAAATGGCAGTGGGATGAGAAATGAGAAGGCTTTTGGGGCTTAAGAAACACAAGGCCTATTGAAAATAATCATCAGGCTGGGCACAGTGGCTCATGCCTGTAATCCCAGCACTTTGCGAGGCAGAGGTAGGTGGAGTTTAAGACCAGTCTGGGCAATCTGGTGAGACCCTGTCTATAAAAAATTAAAAAATTAACTGGGCGTGGTGGCATGCACCTGTGGTCCTAGCTACTAGGGAGGCTGAGGTGGGAGGATTGCTTGAGCCCAGGAGGTTGAGGCTGCAGTGAACCGTGATCTGTACTCCAACCTGGGCAACAGAGTGACACCCTGTCTCAAAAAAAAAAAAAAAAGTAATAATCGTCAACATCAGATCAGTATTGTTATTTGGTAATGTGAGACTGTTATCCCACCTGCTTTATTGTAACATCCCTTTATGGTGTTGACGTCAGGAAATAGTCTACGGTTTATAGTAGACAGTGGGTCAAATATTGTGTTTGTATAAGAACTTGAAACATATATTGGTGATATTATTCATTTATTTATTTATTCACCTAGTTAAATATCTCATATTTATTTCATACCTCTGATGTGGCAGGCACTATTCTAAGTACCTGAAATCGAGTGGTAAAGAAAGCAAAGTCCTTTCCCAAATGGACAGTCTAGTGGAGGAGATAGACATATACCAAATTCATAAATAATGTTATGGCAGGTGACGCATTGAAGAAAAATTGAGCAGGTTAAAGGAAGAGACAGTGAAGCCTGGTTGGAAAGCATTGCTATTTTTTAAAAAGTGATTCAAGATAGGTATTTTGATGAGGTGACTTTTAAACAAAAAGACCTATTTGAAAAGGTCACTTTTAAGGAGAAGTGCATTTCCAGCAAAGAGGAAAAACATGGGAGTGGGGAAGAGAGAGGCCCTGAGGCAGGAATGAGCTTGACAAGTTTCAGGAATAGTCAGCAGGCCAGTGTGGCTGGAGACCTGTGAACCAAAGGGAAGGAGAGGAGTTCAAAGTCTAGGGCAGATCATGAAGGGCTGTGAGCCATAGGAAGCACTTTGGCTTTTATTCTCCATGTGATGGGAAGTTACTGTGGGCTTTGAGCTTAGAGTAGCATGATTAAATTTGCCTTTTTCAAGGTCACTCTGTTGTGTGAAGGCTAAAATGCAGGAGAGTGGAAGCCTGAAGACCAACCAGGGGACTATTGCAGGTGTGTGGGCAAGAGATGACTTCTGGCTTGGACCAGCATGGTGGCAGTGAAATGGTGAGAATGGTTGTGAGAACACGTTTTAAATGTCGAAACAACAGGATTCCTTCAGTTGAATTTGTAAATGGATTGGGAGAGAGAAGGGGGAGGTGCAGGAATATACCAGGATTTTTTGTCTGAGCTGGTTAAACGAAATTTGTATTTAGTGAGAGATTCTGTGGCTAGTCTTGGCTATTTCATAGGTCACTCTCTTGGTTTTCTGTGCAGAATCTAAACCTTTGGTTTCTTAGACAGACTTTTGGGTTCTCTGTGAAAAGTTACTGCTTCAGCCTGCTATTATTATTATTATTTTTTTTTGAGATGGAGTTTCGCTCTTGTTGCCCAGGCTGGAATACAATGACACGATCTCGGCTCACCGCAACCTCTGCCTCCTGGGTTCAAGCGATTCTCCTGCCTCAGTCTCCCAAGTAGCTGGGATTACAGGCATACGCCACCACGCCTGGCTAATTTTGTACTTCTAGTAGAGACGAGGCTTCTCCATGTTGGTCAGGCTGGTCTTGAACTCCCGACCTCAAATGATCCACCTGCTTCTTCCTCCCAAAGTGCTGCGATTACAGGCATGAGCCACCGTGCCCAGCCCTCAGCCTGCTATTATGCCACACAGTATAATAGGCATTAGGAATAAAAAAAGAAATTGAGAGTGAGACTACAGTTCTTATTTTGTGGGAGGCCACATTTAGTGAGGCAGAAAACTAATTAATTTCCATATGATACGTTAAGTGCATAGATAAAGGGACCCTTGTTAGGAATGTTCTGAGCTTTTCTGTGGAACTTCTCACTGGTGTAAGTTTTGAAGCAGCTTCTTCTTCTTCTTCTTCTTTTTTTTTTTTTTTAGATAGTCTCTGTATGCCAACATTAAAATACATAGATAAGTAAGAAGAAGGTTGGAAATATCACTTCCAGAGATAACCACTATTTTTTTTTTGACAGCTGTTCATGTGGCTAATGCCCCCAACAGTTTTATTTATTTATTTATTTTTATTTTTTATTTTTTCCCTTTTTTAAAAATTATACTTTAAGTTCTAGGGTACATGTGCACAACGTGCAGGTTTGTTACATATGTATACATGTGCCACGTTGGTGTGCTGCACCCGTTAACTCATCATTTACATTAGGTGTATCTCCTAATGCTATCCCTCCCCGCTTCCCCCCACCTCATGACAGGCCCCGGTATGTGATATTTCCCACCCTGTGTCCAAGTGTTCTCATTGTTCAATTCCCACCTATGAGTGAGAACATGGCAGTGTTTGGTTTTCTGTCCTTGCGATAGTTTGCTGAGAATTATGGTTTCCAGCTGCATCCATGTCCCAACAAAGGACATGAACTCATCCTTTTTTATGGCTGCATAGTATTCCATGGTGTACATATGCCACATTTTCTTAATCCAGTCTGTCATTGATGGACATTTGGGTTAGTTCCAAGTCTTTGCTATTGTGAATAGTGCCGCAATCAACCTACGTGTGCATGTGTCTTTACAGCAGCATGATTAATAATCCTTTGGGTATATACCCAGTATGGAATGGCTGGGTCAAATGGTATTTCTAGTTCTAGATCCTTGAGGAATTGCCACACTCTCTTCCACAATGGTTGAACTAGTTTACAAACCCACCAGCAGTGTAAAAGTGTTCCTGTTTCTCCACATCCTCTCCAGCACCTGTTGTTTCCTGACTTTTTAATGATTGCCATTCTAACTGGTGTGAGATGGTATCTCATTGTGGTTTTGATTTGCATTCCTCTGATGACCAGTGATGATCATGACCATCTTTTCATGTGTCTGTTGTCTGCATAAATGTCTTCTTTTGAGAAGTGTCTGTTCATATCCTTTGCCCACTTTTTGATGGGGTTG